AAAAAAATAAAATACACAAAACAAAAAAAAAAAAAGAAAGAGAAAGATAAAAGCCTAGAAACAAAAGGTAGATGGGATAGTTTGTTAAGAAAAGCTGGCAAGAAATAAACCAAGCTAAGGGCAGACATTCATAAGAAAGAATATGCCTCCACATAATTTATTTGGGAGCAGGTTGGTGGCCCCCCCAAAGAAGAAAGAGCCAGAAGAGTCAAAGAGTAAAAACCAACCAGCTACATAGTGGCCATCTTCTAAGCCTATGAATTATTGTTTCTTTATCACATTTTCTTGACTTTCGGGTGAGTCTAGCACTATTTTTATTTGGGGATTTATTTTTATTTGTAGATTGTAGTATTGAAAAACATAAAATTATTTTAATTTTAATTTCAGGTTTTTGTACAATGAGGTTTTTTTGAAGACAGTTCTATTTAACATGTAGAATACTCTGGCACATAAAGTGCTTATATTTGTGGAATATGGGATGATGCAGTTTAAATGATGACTGGATTTTTAAAGAGCCCATGTTGCATCCTAGCCCCATAAACTAGCTTTAGAATCTTCTGTATGGAAAGGAAACTTAAAGCAACCCTGGCTGGTTTTTTTTTTGTTGTTGTTGTTCTTTTTCTTTTTTCTTTCCTTTCTCCCACCAGTGAGGGTAGAGGCATCAGTACTTCTTCCTTTTAAAGCTGTACTTGGAGCTTGTTTTTTGTCTGTCATTATGCTACATGGGCACTCAGATTTTGGTGAGGCTGATACGTTGATCTCTATACCACCTTATGAAATATTTGCTGAAGGTCACCAGATGCATGGAGATTTGAATTTTAAATAGTATGGGTTTAACTGGCATTAAAAAAAAAAAGATGGCTGAGTGGTGGTGGCTCACGACTTTAATCCCAGTGCTTAGGAGGCAGAGGCAGGCAGGTCTCTATGAATTTGAGGCCAGACTGGTCTAAAACGGGAGTTCCAGATAACCAGGGTTACCACAGGATGAGTCTACCTTCCTTTTAAATAAGTAAATTGCATAACAAAGATTAATTCACTCGTCCTACCAGTTTGTTTGAGATGTATAAACTTGTAATTTATGCATGAAACTACACAGAACAATAGAAAGAGACCCCCCCCACCCCGGCAGAGCTCTCTGTAACAGTGGGCTCCCAGCTGGGCTAAGCAGCATATTGTAGTGGTTCTCAGTTGTATCTGTGCATTGCCATGTTTCATCTTCCAGCTTCTGGTTCTTGGGGAGGCTCTTCTTTCATTTCTGCAGTCCTATGGTGCCATTGTTGTGGGGTTCCATGTCCCACCTAGACAAGAATGAGCCTGTGACTCCAAATGCTTGGTTTAAGCACACCTTGCCCCAGTACCATTGTTTGGACTAGAGTAAGGAGAATTCCTAGATACCTTTGGGTGGATAGTTAGGAGATCAGGCTGAGAATAAAGCCAAGTGAGACAGGCAGGGGACAAGACTGAACCAACTGGGTTTGATATGCACAGGATGACCTCCCATTAAGTCATGAAATATGGCGTCTTGTCATTTAGTCAAACTCGAGTTGAATTTCTGTAAGATGCAACAAAAAGCATCCCAGTGAATCTGGTATTTCCTTCCCTCAACCTTTGGGGTTCTAATGATGCTGAAATAAATGCTTACACTTTGAGGGACAGGTATACCTGAGTGCAAGACATACTTCGCCCCGAAGTTCATGTCAAACAAGTCTTTATTTTTCATGATACAAATTAAAAGTGACAGATCTGAAGCTGTTAAGAAATACACAAAGTGCAGCTTTACCGACCATACAGATATTGCTCTAGATCAAGTACAGTTTTTATTTTTAAACATTAAGCAACCTGTGCAGATAAGTCAGCTTTGGTTTCAATGTTAGAACAAGTAAGGAGCTTTTCAATATCCAGTTTGGCTTCTTGGTCACAAGTCTATCATGTCAGTATCTCGTCATGATGATTTTTTTGTTTTCCAGAACAACCCAGTCTTTTCCTGCCCTCTCTCCTGCTGCCTGCTCCAGGCATGGAGAAGCAGATTTCTTTGCAGTGTCTCATTAAGTGACCCTGGTGACCAGTCTAGATCACAGCACAGAGGACAAAATCATGAGAAAGAAAGCTCAAAAAAAAAAGTCACTTTTCAACAATGAATAAGCCAATGTGCCTCACATAATGTCAAGTTGAAGACAAGCAAATCACATGACAAAAAGCTCATTACAAAATATCTTCCAAACAGATTTTACAGTCAAACATGGAAATAAAAATCAATTTCCTTTTTTGCCGTTGTTTTTATGCTTGATCATTAACTGGGTACAAGTAGAGTGCTGAGGTAAAACATTGATGAACAGTTTGTGATTTTCTTTTTCTTAAAATAGGAACAGTTTAGTATTGCAAGATTGTCAGCAACATTTAGCCATATCTACACAATGTGCATATACCTACACATACTGAGCTTTGGTCCAGCGTAGAGAAGAGAGCAAAGGCAATTGGATTTCTTTTTGGTTACAGCTTGAGTTCTTTGATACGCCTCCACTTGTTTTGTTCTGCTTCCCACAGCTCCTTCTGCTTTTTGTTCTCCTTTGTGTTGTGTTGTGTGTGTAACTGTGTGATCACGACATAAAGAGTCCAAAACTTGCAAAGGCAAGTGAAACTTTTAACTATTCAAAATATCTTTTTGGTTGAAAGAGAAAACAACCCCGCAAGCAAGTGTAAAATACAATATTGGCTGTCATTTCTCATCAATGATGAAGAAAATGAAGATGACAACGATTTAAAGAATGTATGAGAAAGATTACAGAAGCTTGAAATACAATGCGTATGTCCAAAGTGGCGTTTACTTTTTGTTGGTGGCAACCTTAACCTTCAGTTGATGAAAACATAAAAGACACTTAGATGTTATTGGCGTATGAAGTTGTTTACCAAAGGAAATAAGAAATGTCTAATAAAACTAAGCAGTAGGTGTGGTCCTGAAGGCTTGTGTGTTCCCAAGTACAGTTTATATTCCTAAGAATCTGTTCAGGCATCTTTTTTTTGCCTTGTAGCAAAAAATTCATCAGTAAAAAAATCAATATAAGAAGCATTACAACACTATATAAATAATTTATAAAACAATACAAAATTATAAAACTATAAAAAAATCACTGCACATGAATAGTTTTACAACCATGGGATGAATTCACTCCTTTTTTGTTCTACTCGGGTGACTACTTTAATTTTATATTTTTACTACCCTAGTTATGCTCTCCCAAGTATAGATCTCAGAACTGAACAGACCTCGTGTGCCTGCTGCCCGTTCAGATTTAAACATTTAACACCCGTCATAGGTTCTCTTGTTAACTTCTCTTCTTGGGGAGCTTTTCTTGATGGAATTTGGAGCAGGTCCTAGGAGAATACAAAATCGGTTTTAATCAATAAAGTTTTCGGTTTCTGGGTTGCTGGTATCTGTGCAGTTTTTGCAGTGGTGACAAGCTACCGTGATGTTGGCACTGATCGGGCTGGTTGTGGTCCAATTAGCATCAGACTGGTGGCACAGAAACGCTTTTATTAATGACTCTCTCACTTCCAGGATCATGGTCACTTAGTTTCCTTGTTGGAACTTTATGGTTGCTGATTGAACCAGCTGAGGGGACTGTTACATTGCCCCATTTTCGTCACCAGCTAAGGAGCCAACACAACCAAAAACTAGAACCCTGGGTGGGAGGCGTGTGCTAGGGGAAGGGGATCATGGTCTTTGTGATCAACTGGGCAACGGGAGGTGGGGTTTCTCTTTACCGTTCATGATTTGCCTCTAGACAGTAAAGGAGCATGCTTTTTAATTACTCATGAATATTTACATTTTGACAACAAGCTAATCGATGATTCTCTTTTGCCTTCTTCGGTAGAACCGTCTACCTTCATCTGGGCCCAGGAGTTTTTTGCCCTTCTCTACTCCCCCTTAGTCCATTCTGTGGGCTTCTTGGGTCTCAATGGCCCATGCCTTGGGGAAGTTCTTTTTTTTTTTTTTAAAAAAAAATGGATTAATATACTGGTTCTAATAGTGAAGGCTTTTCTGATATGTTTTATGAGCTGCTTCTGTATATTTTTCCTTTCTTGGAGGATCTTTTCGCTAATCCTTCTTTTCTAGTCAAGAAGTCAGAGCCCAATTCCAATAGCTTAACTTTGCCTGTCACATTTCTGCCCCATCTATAAATTCAAGAACAGTTGTACCCCAGCTCCAAATGTCTGCCAACACTGTCTGATGAAAGAGGTTGCAGACAAAGTGAGGCTAACAGGATATTTGGCAGCCCCTAACAATCTAGGCCACCGTCATTCTCTTTGTGCAAGGTGGATGGGTATGAGCATGCTTGTGTGCATGTGTGTGTGTGCGTGTGTGTGTGTGGGTGTGTGTGTGTGCGCGCGTGTGTGTGTGTGTGTGTGTGTGTGTGTGTGTGTGCTTGTGTGTGTGTTGGTTGAAACCTTGAGACATTTCTTTGGCTATCAGACTTCTGAGAGAAATTGCTTTGAGCAGAAGCAAAACACAGATGTAAGTATTGAACCATATGTGCAGCTTATGTTTATATTACAGAATTAGTTTTGATCAGCTCTCCACAAGTGTGGCTAGCAGACTGAGAAAAATCTCAGTCTCCGGTGTGGACGGTGAGCACAATTACAGCCTCTGCTGGTGTTGACAGTCACCCAGCAAAGCCCTAGTTTTTCTGGAGTCTTTCCTGCATCTCTGCACGATTGGGGTGGAAAAATACACCTTTTCTTCTCACTTCTGCTACCTTCCTGAAGATCCCAGGAGCCACATGAGAGGGAGGTGGAGAAATAAGGAAGAAAGGGAGGTGTGAACTCCATTATCTTTCCCAAACCTCCAGCTCACAATGAGAAGAATTGCCACAGAAGCTTTGGCACACAATTCAGGTTGCCCCCACCCTCGATCGAAACAAAGCAAAAAGAAATAACACAATTTAGGAAAAAAAAAAACCCAGCAAAATGAAAACTCACTTCTGTTAAGAAACACATTGGTAGAGAGTGAGCCATACAGAATGATTTCAAAAACGTCCCTGGTGGCAGAGACAACCGGCAAGAAAGACGGGAGAAAGCAGGCTTCCTGCTGTTTTGTTGGTACAAATGTAAAAATTCAAACCCCAGCTTTACACGCCGAGGCAAGTAGACCAACAGCGTTCGCAGTGTTTCTGACTTTGGTTAATAGGTTTTGCAGTGATCAGCACTTCGTCCCTGAAGGGATGCGGGCCCTCCTCCAGGTGGCAGGCTTGCATTCGCTTTGAACAGATAGAAGTTTGTGGTGGTGAGTTGTTTTGTTTTGTTTTTTGGTTTCCTTTTTTTTTTTCTTTTTCCTTATTAGGTGTTCACATTTTCATCATATACAGAAAAAAGTAAGTGGATATTTGGTTTGCTTTTAAAAAACTGGCTTTACAGAGACAGGTGGGGGAGGGAATGATCCTACCACATACTCCTTCCATGTGGTGCATTTCCTGTTTAAAAATTTAAAATTTCCTTTTCTTCTTCCTTTTGGAAAGCCAACGGACATGTATAAACCATCCTGCCCATTTGCTAGTTTTTTTTTTTTCTTTTTCCTTTTCCTTTTGAGTCTTTTACATACAAGGGAAATGATGACTGGGGGTGTCTTTAATCCTTTCTTCTTTCTTTTTTTGTGGAGATTCAGAGTAGTTTCTGCCGTGCTTCCTTCTGACCATGGATGGGTGTGTCTAGCAGTTTTCTTCAGGCGAGTCGGCTAAGGGCTCCAGCGGGACCGCTGAAGTGGGCTCATGTTGCTTTAAGCGCTTAATTGTGTTCTTCAGGGCTTGTCTCTTATTGCAGAACCAAACTCTAACTACTTCCCGGTCATAGTTTAGCTTCTCAGCAATCTCGGTCATTTCCTGCCCTGAGGGGTGTGTGTTCTTCTCAAAGTGGGCATTGAGGATCTCAAGGGCCTGGGGTGTGAAGGAGGTGCGCCGCTTGCGCTTTTTGGATGGCTCACTCCCAATAAACTCCGTGAGGTTCTGCATACCTGCTCGATGGCGGGCCTCAGCCTCAGCCATCCACCGCTCAAGCACCGGCTTGATCTTCTGGGCACTTTTAGGGGTGATGTCCAGCTTTTCAAACCTGGCAGGATACAAAAGGCCAGGGTTCAGTTTGGCTGTCAGACTGCTAGCTATAGTGTTCTCTTGGGCTTCCTGTGGTAGGAAAAAGTGGCTTCTCAGGATGGTGTGTCTGGGGGGAAAATTGAGAAAGAACAGTCTTACACTGAGTCCTCTGCCAGGGTGGGCCTCCTGCCTGCCTGCCTGATTGCCTGGCAGGGTGAATTTACTCCAGATTAGCAGCCAGCTGCAAGGTAGCCAGCCCTGTCCCAGCCGTCACCCACCCTCCCAACGAGCTCCATGCCAGCCCATGCAGATCCCCGAGCACACGGACAGGGGAGGGGGAAAAAAGGCACCGGCACACACTATGGAAACACAAGCAACTCACAGGCCTTTTCTCTCTAAACTCTGAGATCTAAGCTGCCTTCTCGGCTGTTCCCTGCTTTATTTCCCCAGCCCTCAGAATTCTTAAGGCAGACATTCACCACGAAAATGACATTCACGATAACAGTTGTCATATTCTTTTACTTAAAACGATGGCGCTTTGCATTTGGGTTACCTCTCTATTGTGTTGGTTTTGAAAATTGTTAACAGCTGTTATCATAGTTTGGTATGGCTTAACTGGGCCAAGCTCCTCTTCATGCCTTTCTTTTTATCTCCTCTTGTGTCTTATTTTAACTTCTTTCTCTCTGGTAACAATTTTCCCCATATGTAACTTAACAACATGCCTCCCTGTCCAGGTAAAATACAGGCCAGCTGTTACTTTACAGTTCTGGCCTAAACAGCTGGATACATTGTAATTACTATGGAATGCCCCACCCCTGGGTGGGCTTAGGCCACCTCGTGGCTTCCAATCACCCTCCAGTGTAATGGTGCACTTTTGTACCAGGGCGTCCTGCTGTGTTTAATGTGGGATATCTGCAAACTGTACTTGAATGATATCATTTTCTGTAAATGAGGTCTTCCATGTATCAATCGCCATCAGCAATTCTTTGCTACATTTACTTTAAAAAATATGAAGCATCCTGGACAAAATTATATAGAGTGTTTTAAAAAGTCCTCCTGGTACTAAAGTCATACTGTCGGTGAAATGCAAAAGGCCACCAGTTCCTTTTGTTTGTTTGTTTCTTTATTCTAAGTCCAAATCCATGTCCCTCCTATTGACCGCAGTGGACACAGATTTTTGTCCTTTTAAAAAGAGTGTTCCATGTTGTTGAAAAGCAGTCATCTGTGTGGGTTAAGATGCTCGCAAAAGGATGAACCAGGACGGCCTTCCTCTGTGCCAGTATTGAGTGTTGAGTGCATCCTTAGGTCTCTTTGTTAAGGTGGGCAGCACAGGTTCCATCAAGGGTTTACCTCCATGGTGCTCCCATCCACACAGAGTTCGAGAAGGCATTTGTTTATTCTGGCACTTAATATTATTAATGCCTTTGTCACCTGTGGCAGGTTCCCCAAAGCCACCATTGTGACAACTTGCCACCTTTTGCATTTTGCCATCTTTCATCATAAAAACCTGGGGCTTGAACTCTTGATTCTAACTCAACTGGTCTCAGAGGGCTGTGGCATCAAGGGGCAGAGCTTGTGAAAGGTCTGGTATATTGGTGTCATCATCCTTTTGTAACTCTGATAAGAAAGATCACACAGTCTCTAGGGGGCGCTGCAGCCAATTAGCACACAGTGACGCCTTGGTGTGCAGACACTGGTACAGTCTTTCCCAGCCTTTGAATTCACTGAGACTATCTTAATGCAAAGTCTTGAGACTTATTCATTAATTCATTTGGATAGACACCTTCTAAAAAGCATCACTAAAACACTGGAAGCTGGAGAAAGGTCCTGAAGTCCGTTGATCTGCTCTGTTAAAGGATATTAACATTTCCAGAAGTCTGAATTCTACAGTATTTTTGGCTTCCCTTTGGGGAAGGCTTAACAAATCAGCATATCTGATTGGGGATGCCCAGGAATCTGTGTGCGTGTGTGTATGAGTCGAAACATTAGCGAGCACTTCAGTCAATAAAAGAAAATCACATTTTAGGGCTAAAATAAGCCAAAGAGGAATTTGACAACAATGGCAAATTGGCATCAAAATAAAAACCCGTGGCTGCCTTAAGCACAAGGCGCCAAGACCAAACAAAATTAATGTCTCCCGACAGGAAGACACTCTAGTCCCATCATTGATGCTACTAGTTAGCGTTGATGCTTCTGTACGTGGTGTTTGGAATAACATATACAAGCCTTGATATAAATTTCCCAGCAGTAGTATCCTTGTATAGACTGAATAAAGGTTATTTTCTACAGGGAGGTATCTTATAAGAAAAAACAGTAGGGGAGACCGTAGAAGTGAAAGGATCCTATGGTGCTTTTTGTATTTAACAACAATCAATGGGTTTTATGGAAAATCATTGAGCAAAATGTGAGCTGCAAGCTACCACCCCATACTGATGTTATTTATAACCTTAGTCTTAAACTGCAGGAAAAGTACACTTCTGTCCTTTGGGGAATACATTAAAAGTATAAAGAGCAGATAAAAAGACAGCATTTCATGGATCACCAAGAACAAAATCCACTTAAATGAGTTTAGAGTTGGTTTCTTGGCTGTTCCTGATGGAGCAGGACTCCTAAGGCACTGCCCAAGAGGAAAAAGCTCCTACCGAGTGCCTCCGTTCCCTCATGCATAAACATGGGATTAGTGCAACACACATGCATGCGTGGGGGCTGCTCCCGAAGACTTAACCCGGATCAACTCAAACACAACCAAGGCTGGATTCAGTCATGTATTTAATGTGGAGGGAGGGTGTGGGTATGGTTAGGTCAGATTCACTACCTGTTTGTAAACTTTTAAAACAGGTCTCTTTTTTTCCCCCTTCTCTCGTTTTCCTTTCTTCTACCTTCCTTCCCTTCTGCTTATAAAGATGAGTCTGGGCAGGCAAGTTGTAAAATTTCCTCCCACGAGATAGTGAAATTTGTTAAAATATGCATTTCATGGGAAACCTTGGAGCTATCTCTGGGGAGTTAACAGTAGGGTGGATTAGCAGTTTTACGTTTGCTCAGGATGTCCATGTGCGGACAGGAGTTAGCATTCTTGTCTGGCAGGGGCACAGAGGAGAGAGAAGATCCCTGCCAGGACAGCTCTTTCAACCTGGCAGCCTTGGAAGTTCATGGAGTTGATAGGAGTTAGGAGACAGAACCCCTCAACTCTTCACTGACACCCCCATTTTGCATCGATGTCACCAGTCCCAACACACCACCACCCCCAGCCTTCATTACCATGCTCTGTTCCTCCAGTTTGCCCACCCCAAGAAGAAAAGCTGAGCTGCAAGAACAAACAAGGCCCGGACTGGCCCGTGTCAGCGGCATGCAGAGCCCGTTACCTGCAGATGGCTGACTGGCTGTATGCGGGGCCCTCTGTGGCACTGAGGGCTTGTCCCACCTGAGTCTGAGTCAGGCCAAGGGACAGGCGTCGGATTTTAAAAGCTTTGGCAAACTCTCGAATCTCCTCCAGATTAACCCCGTCCACCTCACCCGCTGCCGTTTGAGGATCTGTGGAGATGTTTTTAAAATAGGATCAACACGTCATCACAAAGCCCGTCAGGATGTTTATCACCGAGCCTCCATAGAGCGATGGAGGAATCACCACCGTACCACCTCTGTCTCTCACCGTTCAGTACACCTTCCTCCTTCACAAGCCATCCTTCAAGCACTTCCTAGCCCAGATAAAGCCCCTCCTGTTTACCCTGCCCCTTCCCAAAGCCAGAGCACACTTCTTTAGGGTTTAACAACAGAAGCCAGCACGGGGAGGAAACTCTTGCTAGAGGGATTCAGCCCTACTTTGTTGGTAAGCCCATTCATACACTGCAAAAATACAAACACTAGGAGCTTTCTGTTTGAAATGTACTAATTGGAATTCTCCATGCTAAGAATCGCCCGGGAAGGAAACAGCGCTTGGTGTTTTTCTTTCACCTGATTGCCGTGTAGCTGGGCTAATAGATGGTAATGTTGCCTCATTTCTTATGTTCGCATTCCCCCTCAGAAGAGCATGGTTATGAAGCTGTGAGAATATTGTCTTTTTTCCCCATAGCGCTTTACCCTCGCAGCTGCCTTTGTCTCCTGAAAGGGCACATAATAAAAACTGCCTACCACAGGAAGGCTCCTTTGGTGCCGGATAACGCGGTCAATTTAGGACTTATCAAGGGAAATGACACAACAGCTGGAGAATGAAACTTTCTCCCCCCTGGCTACTGATCCCTGGATAAATGAAAGCGTTCACCAAGCTGGAGCCAGCATGGGCCGGGCCTGGTGGGAGATTTCAGCGCAGCTCAATGCTGCCTGTAGCGAAGCTGGTCTCACTGCAAGCCATCCCTATTGTTCTTCGCCTCACTCCTCTGACTTAGCTGAAAGTGGTCCTTCCTCTTTCTGCACAGCAACCCATCAGTTTCAGAGAATTTCTGTTCTTGTCCCAGGACTGCGGTCGACTGTGTTGGTCTTCTGGGTTCAGCGCAATATACTCCCTGGCTGTTAGTGAAAGAAACGTTTGCGTCCTCAGTGACAGTTTTAAAAATGCTTTTAAATAAGGAAGACGTGTCCGTGGGGGAAGGGCCTGGAGTACCATGGACAGCTCCTCTGGGTACAGGGCCGTGTAGGGGGTGATCCTTCCAGGCTGTGGAAAATGTACTGCTAATCTGAGGAGGGACACAGATACACATTTGTCTTCACATTAAAAACGAACCTCTGGCCAGACATCGTAGCCCGTGCGTGTGGTGCGGAAGCAAGAGGAGTTTTGAACTCCAGTCCAAGGCAAACAGGGCAGCTCAGGAAGACTGTTTAAGGAGTCCTTAGAATTTTCATAGCACTAGGTCCTCACTTCCTGGGGAGAGATTAGAGAGTGGTTTGGCCAATGCCGACAGCTCGTAAGTAATTTTAGGCGACTCCTGGTTTCTGAGTGGAGTGGGAGGCATGTACTCACAGTTTTTTTGGACTGAGGTCCAGTACTAATGCATGAAAACTTAGAGAAAAATGACAGATAGTCATCAGGAACTGGTGGGAGGACAGTCACTGGGGATAGAAACCACACTTGAGAGCAGGGACCATGCCCAGCAGTCGATGACCAACGTGAAACAAACTCAGTGGAATGTTTGGAGGCTTTTTGCTGTTTTTTTTTCCTATACAGGTCTTTTGCATATATATATTATGATTTCCGATTTTTGTGTTTCTATGGAATTTCTCTGTGAGTGAATGTGTGTCTCTGTGTCTATATTTCTTGTGATTTTTGTTTGGCTCTTTTCCTTCTGTTTGTTTGTTTTGTCTTATTCTGGTTAGTTTGTTCTAATTTTATCATTATTTTGCAGATGCCTGTTTGTTTTCTAATAAGAGAGAGAAAGGGCATGGGTGTGTGTGGGAGGGAAGGAGGAGGGACTCTTGGAGGGATTGGGGGAGGGAAAACTATAATCAGAATATACTCTATGGAAAGATTTATTTCAATAAAAATGGAAAAGAAAATACAAAACAAAACAAAAAACGGGCAGTGTGATTCAATTCTAGGTATGCAGAGACGGGAAGAGGGACAGGAGGGGTCATCTTCTCAGAGAATGTAAGGGACACAGGCTGGAGAAGAAACTCGTCTAAGTGGTGAGCATCATGGAGATTGTGTGTAGTGCAGGACTCCGTGGGTTGATTATAAAGTTGCTTTGGATGAGATGACTTAAAATCCATCTTTTCCTACACTGCCCCCAATTTCTTTCTAGAAATCTGACATTCAGTTAATGAAAGACATTTGAGTGTTTTGTGGTGGAGACTGGCCTCTGAATTTTAAAGCCCACCAGCATAGTGGTGTGGAATGGTTCTCAGGGTTCACAAAGAATTCTGGGAGACCACATGTGCACACATCTGCCTGTGCCTCTTGTCTTATTTACTCATTAAAGCAATCCCAGAATTAGGAGCTGCAAATGAATACTGCAGGAGTCTCACACATATTTGGAATTAGCTGCCAACAATATAAAAAGGGAGTTTAAAGACGAAGCAAGATTTTGGTGTTCTTCCCGGGCAGAGGACCTACATCGTCATTGGTTGTGTCTAGTCACCTGGAATGGATACCCACTGCGCCTTGCCCCTCTTCTCCAGCTCCCCTCACATTGGCTGTGAGCTGTGAGCCTGAGTCTAGACTGGGCATTCTTGCTGCTTGGTTCTGGGGCTTAAAGAGACAGAGTAGGTGTTACAGTGGCTGTCGTTACCACAGGCCACAGTACATAAACAGGACAGATTCATAGCAAATCTACAGTGAAAAGCAAACAAAAAAGTCACAGTGGAAGGAAGAATTATTTTATAATCTTCTTTTGTTTGCTTGTTTTCATTTTTGTTTTTCGAGACAGAGTTTCTTTGTGTAGCGTTGAACCCTGTCCTGGCACTCAATCTGTACAGGCTGGCCTTGAACTCACCAAGATCTATCTGTCTCTGCCTTTCAAGTGCTGGGATTAAAGGCACGCGCCACCACTGCCTGACTGAAGGAAGAATTGTTAGCATTAAGAAAAAGTTCAAAAAGTCTACTTGCAAGAGGAGAGAGGCAAGAAATTAGCATCTCAGGAATACTGATTTAGAGTAGAGATGGACACTGGCTGGTACAGGGGGAAGAAAAGATTGACCTAGTCTCGTCCAGAGGTGGTGAAGTGTCTGACAGTTTTGCATATAACTGTGGACATTCAAAACTCAAAACTTTAAAAAAAAAGGAAGTCAGAGACTTTTCTTGTACAGACATGGCTTTTAAAATGACACTTTTCTTAATTTGAAAGGCTTGAGTCACCTGTGGGGGAGGGGCACATTTTACAGGTGGTTCAGGTGTTCTGACAGGAGGCTCTCCCTGCTCCTTCATGCATCTTGTCTGACCTTCTTCTTCTACCTTTGCTGAGTCTGGCTGTGGCATCCTCTTTCCATCACCACTTTTCTGGGTCTGTTCATGCTCTCATCCCGCATGCTTCATGATACAGAAAAGTCGCTTGCTCATCAGACTGACGAAGCAGACAGGCCTGGTGAGGAGGAGCTCCTGAGGGGGCCTCCCACCTCTTTCTTTTCTCACCCTTCTGCACTGCATCTGAGAATAGCGAAGCAGTTGAGTCTGTGGGATAGGAAGGCCAGTGGCCTGTGATTGGGGATAAAGTTTTCTGTCAAAGTAGATACCTCCATGGGAAATAACACTTTGGCTTTTACTAGTCACATCTCTACCCAAAATCAGTTGAATTAACCGTCACAGGAAGGACTGGTCTTCATGAGCAGTCTCCATCACTACCGACGCTGCCAGAACGCACAGCACCACAGTGCTGTCCTTAGGATATGGTCAGCACATTTAGGTAAATGCGTCCTCTTACCTTTTTCCTTTCTTACCTCCTCTCTAGATCATATCACCTTGGTAATTCCCTTGCCTTGGAACTAAACCTGGTCACTTGATTGTGAAGGGTTTGTTGGTTTTGTTCCATACTGTATCACTGAAAATAATAAGAGTTAAAAAGAACACTTTGGATACTGAGGTCCCATATACCGAGGAGTGTTGGTGTGGATGCTTAGATATCCATGAGAGTTCAGAGAAGGAAGTTCCTGTTATACACTCAATTTCTTCCATGAGGCTCTAATGAGTGGGCTTCTAGTTTTTATGTAAAGTTTCAGGGGGCTTTATATAAACAGGTGGTAAAGAGAAGAGCATGTGTTTGTGTGCGTCCACGTGTGTATGTATGTGCATGTGCGCACACATGTGCCTGCACTTGCAACTCACAACAATGTTCTCTGCTTTTCAAGTGTTGTGTTTATCCATGTGACCCACTATACCCAGGAATAAGAATGTTTTTTGAAATTTACACAGGATGAGGTCTGGACCAAGGTCTGGAAGGAGAACTGAGCATCTGTGTGTAATTTGCTGATTGACAAAAGATGTGAGTCACTTGGCTTTCTTTTTGTTAGTGTTCTTACAAAGTTTAGCTAGCAAAAAACACTGCATGGTTTGTCCCACAGAAGTTTGTTCATCCATAGAGGGAGCCATCTTTGGACATCTGTAATCTTTTTCTTGATTATCTGTTCCGCAGGACTGACCTCGGACATTGGAAGGACACTGTTGGTGTTTCTTCAGTGTTAGTAACTGCCCAAATGGCCGTGCTGCTGTGCTTGTGCCTCAGAGTTGTTCTCGTACTGTCTGGCTGTTGTATTGCTGCAACAGTTCTCCTTGGCTAAGGGATATCTATTTTTCTACTTGAGGAGGAGGAGAAGATATGCATGTGGTGAATGGAAGCTTCCCCCGGGCATTGCTTTAGCCCTCAGCCTAGCGCAGATGTGTAACAACCCACAGCGGGCAAGATTAATTTGGCTTCAATTCTCTTGCTCCTAGGTGAAGTTAGTCTTGAAGATGATCTGAGGTCAGTTTGACTGGGATCACAAGAAGCATCTTCAGGGCTTTCTCAGAGTGGGTCCAGCACTCTAGCCAGAAAACTGGAGGAGATTTCTCTGGATGGAGGAGAAAGTGGTGGTCCTTTTGTAGAAGCTGGCAAGATTAAATAAGCCCTGGA